AGGGCCTTGCCCTTCTTGTTGTTCCTTCTAATGTTACCTTATCAAAGATCAAGGACACTTTGTAGTTTCCTTCATATTTTTGTGTTCCTTTCTTGTTCAGTTTTCCTTAAGTATTTTACACTTCTTTTTGGTCACTCTTGTGAATATGATAGTTTTTCCATTTCTGTTTGTACCTGGTTATCTACTCACTGATCAGGCCCAAATCAAAATTCAGCCTAATCAAAATATTGATTTCATCGTTAAAAAAAACCAGTATGTGGACTTTCATCAATCAAGAAAATATGGATTCTTATGTTGTGAATTCTATGCCCGGCATTGATCTTACTGAATTCACTAGAATCCTTAAAAACAATTGAATAACTTTGACAATCACAAGGATTCTTATCTTGCTCCTGATTGTAATGAAGATTGATTTTCATTTCATCATTTTGTGTCACGTTTGCCATTGTTTTTTGGCAAATAGTCTTTATTTATTTAAATGATCTCCTTCTTTTCTTTAGGATGTGTACTAAGAGGGGCTACAGAACTTTGTCTACTGTCTTTCTCAATATCACAGCTTTGGCATCATTTATCAATATATTTTCTTTGTCAGAAATTTGTCTAAGTGCTGAGTTGTTATGACTGTCTTGGTTGCTTCCTCATTTGGTGCAAGCAAGCCTTGGTGTGAGAATGTCTTTGTAACCCGTACTGGACAGCAACACTCTCTGTCCTACTTAATATTTGTAATTCGAAATTCCACTTTTTTGATGTTAATATTACCATTCCTTCACTATCTTGTTTACATTTCCTTAGTGCCTCTTTTGTACCCTTTGTCTTCAAGCTTTTTTTTTTTCTTTCTTCTTCTTCTTTTTAAACACAGAGCTGATATTTGTAACCTGGTCAGGAGACTTTTGCCTGTTTGCACTTAATTTAACAATTGCTAGATTTGATTCTAACTATACCAGTTTATTTTTATTTTACTTGGTCATTTTCCCTTTTCCTGATTTTTGGTGGGTTAACAAGTTGTTATTTATTTTCTTTTCTCCCCTTGGGTGATTAAAGAATGCTTTTCTATGCTTCCATTACTCATGTGGAGATTGTCCCTGTCCCAGTGCTCTTGGTCAAAGTCCTGAACTTCAAGAATAGAGATACAATCTTTAGCTGGTAAAGAGAGTCCAAATGGAAGGCATACCTGGTGTTGGGCATATCTGGGATACCTGGCAGATAAAAGATAGTAGGACAACATTGAGAGCAAAGCTCAAGGATTCCAAGATGTCTTTCCCCGCTCAGGGTGAGAGACCGTCTTTATGAATGTGTGGGGATTCAGAGATGATATCCATCCAGATATTTTGAGTCTGCGGGAAACAGCCAAACAGAAGGTCAGTGAGAACAGAGACTTGATGATGGCGAGGAGAAGGACTGGTGAGCCCGGAAGCCAGCAGTCTTTGTCCATGGTTCTGAATGCATAGTGATAAAGCAAGTTTTCCAACATGCTAAGTACTTACCAAGGATTTGGAGAAACAGATGACATATGGAAAGAGAAAATCTAATAAAAGCCTGGAACTCAAAATACTAAACTCTCAGCAAAAGTTAGAACCTGTGTTAAAGCCTTCAACAGTAGGCAAGTGCTCTCACTTCAGAGGGAGTCTCGTCCTTTTTGGAAGGGATAACAGGTGGGGGAATTGAGGGTTATTTTCATTAACCTGTCGCTTCACTCTTTGGCCATTCTACAGTCTGTGAAGTCAGGGCCATGTTTGGGGAAGTTTTGCCAAGCAGGGTGTGGACCTCACCATGGCTGAATTCTGGAAGACCTGGCCCAGGCAAGGCTTTGGGTGTGACAACACAATCTCTGCAGTTTGCCCTTCTATGATCTGTACATGAACTTCCGAGACATTTAAACTTTAGTCTTGCTGTGTACCTTTGGGTGTTTATGGACCTGTGGGTTCCATTTTATGACAATCACACCCCCACTGGGTGCTGAGTGGGTGTGGGACAGTGTACAAGGAGGGGAAACCAGATGTGGATCTTTGTAGTTAGGCTTAAAGTAAGAATGGGTTTCACGGAAGAGGGAAGGTCCCAGGAAGTGAGGTGAGCTGCTTACTTTCACTCAGAAGAAAGAGTTCAAAAGGTACTTGGAGATGAGCTGTCTTTCTGAGGAAAGAAGGATGTGGTGTAATCCTGGGGAGGAAGGACTTCAGGAAAAGCATCTTTAGGATGTTTTTGTCATAGGCCAGAAATGCAACATGGTGGTGGAGGGGATGATGCTGGCCTCCTTGACCTTTCAGATGAGCCCAGTGGAGAAGGCTAGGACACAGCCGCTAGGAGCCAGAGGCCTCAGAGAGAGCTGGAGGGGGTGGACCAATCTGGGGCTCACACTTGAGGAGGGCTTGGCAGTGTTTGGGCTTTATTGGTCATGCTCTGAACCAAACCTGAAAGAAATCTCTTAAAATCATGTGTGCTGAGCCTTGTGGGAAGTCCTCTCCATGTCACACCCAGAGTGCCCAGCATTCTGGCTTGAACAGGGCTGAAAGTCCCATATCTCAGGAAACCCCTCAGTTCTGAGCAAAACCCAGCACATCACACAGTCTCATTAATGTCCTTGGCATTCTTGGGAAACATATAAAACCATTTGGAAGACTCTAGGGGAGTTCATTAGATGATGAATAACCTACAGTTGGGGGGAAATTGCCACACTCACACCTCCTCTATTTCCTCTACGTGGAATTGCCACTCTGTGTGTGTGTCCCCACAGATGTGTGCATGCAGGATTATGCCTAAGTATGTATGTGTTTTCTGAAGACCACAATACCCTGGAGTTGGCTTTGAAGTTTGGGGCCAGATCAGGCTGGGCTGAAATTATTGCTGAGGGTTGAGTCTGGGTACATCCTTCCTCTCTTCCTGGGGACACAGCCACCACTCTTGACTCCAGGTTCCCCTGTTTCCACACTGAAGGTAATGCTGCTGTTCTGGTTGGATCATCTTTTTGTTGCTTCCTCTCAGAGCTTCTGTCTGACATCCATCTCTATAGTCTATTGACTTTAGGGGCAGAGGCTTGATAGGTTATAATCTGTGAACTGTGCTTACTAGTGGGGTCCCAGCCATCACAGTCTCTCACCCTTATACATGCAGACATTTCCGAAGATCCTATCCCCCTGCTTCATCCAAAAGAACCGTGGGTTGTCCGCTTTCGAGTAGTTGTAAGGTTCATTATTGACTAGAAAACCACTCACAGTTCATTCCTTATTCCTTGAGTCATCTGGCCCAGAAGTTTCTTCAGAAACAAGACCCATTGCTTTGTCTTGAGTTTTGTCCTTACATGGCCAAGACTGAAATGCACAATGGTGATCTTGTTTGGAAGCATCAGAACAGCCTTACTTGCAATCTTCCTTAAATGATGGGGATAGATATATTGCTAGAAGGGATCAGTTTCTGGAATGGGACAGGAACACTCTGTGGGGGTCACGTGCTGGGTGGGTTCTTGTTTATCCTTCCCACAGGTGATTTTGGTACTCAGGGTTTGCTCGCATGCCCGTGACCCTCTCTGAACTCTGCAGAAGGGGCTCAGATCCTGGTGCAAGGTTTTCTGTCCTATTTTGTATCTCTCATACCTAAGGAGAAATATTTTGCTTTTTACTGTCCATTATGAATCTGGCAAAGAAAGATTCAGGTATCCTTCTGTATGTTCTTGCTGAGGCAGGAAAGTTGACTAACACTCTTCAGAAAGCTCTTCTCCAGGAAAGGTGGGAAATTGCCAGGTTGATTGGTTAAGTTTCAGCACTGAGATGACATGAGTATAATCCCTAACCACCCCAGCGTATTGGCTGGCATGTGGAAGACTCTGCTGTGGGCTGTGGGGAAGCATGTATTGGTACAGGCTGTCTTGGCTATTTGAGGTTTTTCTTAACCATGAGCCTTATCTTCAACACTATTTGCCTTTCTGCTTGGGCTCCATTCATTCCTTCAACATAAAAGGAATATTGCAGAAGCCTCGGAAAATAATACACATCTTTACCGTAGCTTTTCTTAAAGGGGTGGTACAGGACTTTTAGAGTCTGCAGAAAGCTTTCTGAAACCCTCCTTGGACAGCTTTCCTCTCTCCCAAGATCTCCCTTCACTGATCTGCTAAACAGCTCTCTCCCTTCTCTGAGATGCGCATTTACCTTTCCCTCCTTCCTATTGCCTTCTGCTCTTTCCTTTAGTCCCCTTCCTGAAAGCCTGCTTTCTTCCAAGACCCTCCCAGCTGCTTGAAGGCCCTGGGAAGTGGATCTGGTCTAATCTGTGGTTGCTTTTCCTTTGGAAAATTAGCATACTGGGGTGCCTGGGTGGCTCAGTGGGTTAAAGCCTCTGCCTTCTGCTCAGGTCATGATCCCAGGGTCCTGGGATCGAGCCCCGCATTGGGCTCTCTGCTCCGCGGGGAGCCTGCTTCCTCCTCTCTCTCTGCCTGCCTCTCTGCCTACTTGTGATCTCTGTCTGTCAAATAAATAAATAAAATCTTAAAAAAAAAAAAAGAAAATTAGTATACTACCCGGATTCTGCAACTCAAAGAAGAAGAGGAGAACCCAGGAGACAACCCGATCTGCAAGAAGTCTTCCACCTTTGGAAGGGAGTAGGTGGGGGAGGGAAGGCTGTAACATGCACTAATACTTTGTATCTCTAACACACACACACAAACACACACACACATACACACACACAGACACACTTTAATCACATTCTTTTTTTTTTAAAGATATTTTATTTTATTTATTTGACAGGCAGAGATCACAGGTAGGCAGAGAGGCAGCCAGAGAGAGAGGAAGGGAAGCAGGCTCCCTGCTGAGCAGAGAGCCCGATGCGGGGCTCAATCCCACGAGCCTGAGATCATGACCTGAGCCGAAGGCAGAGGCTTAAACCACTGAGCCACCCAGGTGCCCCCTTTAATCACATTCTTAAGATGAAGACATCTGATTCATAGTTGAATGTATGCAGTTCCCAAAGAAGGTGAGAAAAAAATTAACTGGAAATTTCTCTTATGGTTCTAGGAATTTGAAGCCTATGTTAATGCTTCCGGAGAACATGGAATTGTGGTTTTCTCTTTGGGCTCCATGGTCTCAGAGATTCCCGAGAAGAAAGCTATGGAACTTGCTGATGCCTTGGGCAAAATACCTCAGACAGTAAGAAGATTCCATACAATTCTATTTTCCCAAAGGTTGGAACCCCAGACTTCTAAGTATCGATGTTAATCCTATCAGTTGGACTTCCGGTTTGGGCTTCCCTGCCACTTCTCAATTATTAACCCCAAGTTCTTTTTGCCATGTCACTCTCAACTATTCTTAAACCGTGGTCTACTTCACTTGGAGGTCTCATTTTCTCTAAGAAACTCAAAAGTGTACTAAGGAGAATTTATTTTATTTTATTAACTAATTAATTTGTAAAGATTTTATTTTTTAAAGTAATCTCTATATCCAACCTGGGGATCAAACTCACAACCCCAAGATCAAGTGTTGCATGCTCCAAGGAGAATTTATTTTAAAGATAAAGTAAACAGGATAATGTACGGGATAGTGTTTCTTCATATTATGTAGGAGTATTTCCACAAAAAGCTGCTGGATTCATTTCTTATATTTTTGCTTCTCTAATTCTACATTCATTCACTTTGTTAAGTAAACTTCCCCTTGAAGTGCAGAAAAGTGCAAAAATCATAACTGTACAGCTTGATGAATTTGCACAAATACATAGAGTGTTACCAGTCCCCAAAGCCTTCCTAACCTCGACAGTCCCACCCTCGCCAAGGTTATGTTCATTCAGAGGACGCCGCCTTCCAGCTACTACTACACGGATGTTTTTGAATCCTTGTGTTCCTTAAACTCTATTCTTGTCTCTGCAAGGTCCTGTGGCGGTATACTGGCACTCCACCACCAAATCTTGCGAAGAATACAATACTTGTCAAGTGGCTGCCCCAAAATGATCTACTTGGTATGTGGGCAATGCAAGGGCCTATTGAGCCAGAGCAATTCCATCCGGTTAAACTATGACCTTGAATGACTTTGTTGTTTATATAGTAAAACTTAAACTGTCTCTGTCCCCCCCTCCCCCCAGGGGACTTACTTAGAAACAAGTCCGGAAACCAGTCCCAGGTAACAAAGCCCAAATACAAGGGCGGGTCAGGCCAGGTGGAGGTATCCAATCAGTGGGGGGGTGTACTGTCTCCCTAGCTACCAAGGAGTGTGGGTCCTGCCTTTTGGGCGCCAATTCTGACCAAGGTGATAGGCTAGTTCAAATATCTACTATAGGGTACATTGTAATTCAGTTGATTCGGTTGGTCACTTATGTGTGACCTAGCAGGACTGTGCAACTTCCTCTGTGTTACAATCTCATTGGCCACCTGTGTGTGGCCAGGCCCAACCACATGGCCTTTGCCCTTAAAAGCTAGTCTTTAAGGCAGAGAGAGGTCGCCTCTTTGTAAGGGGCAGCCCCGGCCGGTCGGTTTGGTTCTCGATGCTTGGCGTGAAATAAAGCTTTGCTTGACCTTCGCTTTATATCAGTCTCGCTCCTTTGACCATGGACCCAACAGGCAGGATGTGGTGTGTAGGTCAAACCCAAGTGAAATTAACAAAGTGGCTTGTGCATGGCTGTTCTAAAGGATTATTTAGCTGGAAAATATTATGGCCAGAGTATTCCACATTGCCTTTTATCCAGTGGGGTGTCTCAACCCACATTTTCCTCAGCAGACTTCTGCAGGAGACCCATGTGGATGGCACTGAGCCCTTAGAGGGCTTTCAGAACCTAGACAGTGTTAGACTGAGAAACTCGCTGACTTGACTCCTAACATCCCTCCCTGCTTTGCCTCTCAGGTCACCCGAAGACTCGTGCCTTTATCACACATTCTGGCTCCCATGGCATATATGAGGGAATCTGCAACGGAGTTCCAATGGTGATGCTTCCCTTGTTTGGTGATCAAATGGACAATGCAAAGCGCATGGAGACCCGGAGGGCTGGAGTGACCTTGAATGTCCTGGAAATGACTTCCGAAGATTTAGCAAATGCCCTGAAAACTGTCATCAGTGACAAAAGGTAAGAGAAAAGGTACAGAGGGATACTATCTGTATTTTGGCCATCTCATTCACAGCAATATTCAAATGTGAAAACAAACACATAAAAACTCAATTTATAAGTAAGATGATTTGGGGATTATTATCATTCATTTTATAAAAGAATGCTTTAATTCCTATTTAATTCCTATTATTTAATTCCTATTATTTCAAAGATAATTCCATTATCTTTGAAATGATTTTAAATATTATTTCCCTCAGTAGGATTAAAACTTCAATTTATTAAAAAATACAGTCACCAAGTAGACATCTAATCTGTGAGTTCCCGCAGAGAGAAATATTCCATTACAAGAAGCACAGTGTCCATAAGATAAAAATAAACCAGGACAGCTGTCCTTAGAAGGACATTTCTCTCTAGCACTGAAGCCCGGGAGAAACTTTGCTCATGGGGATTTATAAATGGAATGGGGTCATGTGATATCACAGACAAAGGTTTATAATTTATAAGAGCAAAGATAAGTCTCTTTAAATGTGGCTCTGAAAACAATTTGAGAGGCAAAAGCTATCAGATCAAATGATCCCTGCATGAAATTTATGTATTGCTGTCACATTCCCTAGTAACAGGCTGGCCAAAACCTTATGGGAAGAAGTGACGGCCAGGGGTGGACTTGGTCCAACAATTAACGTGTGTGTGTGAGTGCCTGTACGTGCGTGCGTGTGTGTGTGTGTGTGTGTGTGTGTGAGAATGTCAGGAGTCTTGACCCATAGTTGCTTCATTTTGAAAGAGATGTCAGTTGGAGGGACAGATGTGAAAAGACTGGAATGTGTTCAGATAGGATGGGACATGGCTCAGGGTGACACGGTGAGCCTGGGCAAGGAGAAAGGGAGAAATGGGGCGCTCCCATGTGTGGTGCCGATGGATGAAAAAGAAAAGTCAACGAAACCCGCCCCCCCCATGGGTAAATGCCCAGCACGCCCAGACCAGCAGGTGGCATCCCTCCATTCTGATGGGCCTCTTCTGACAGCCCAGTTGCCGGGTTACTGCCACATCGAATGCAGTGAAAACCTGACTTCTCTCCCCGTGTTGACAAAACTTGTTCCTGAGATGTGCATTAGTAGTGCAATTTTGATCTTCCGTTGAGTGGTACAGAAAACTACCTGGAACCTACAAATGACTTGGTAGAAGTTCTCTTATTTATTTTAAATCCTTCATCAATAAGCTTGAGTTACCAGCAAACTTCATCTATTTGCTTGGGAGTCATCTCTGCCTAATTGTGAATCTCCATGTTCCCACCATGCCAAGCTGGGACATAAAATAAAGACAAATGGAAACATTTTGAACATCAGATGATGCAACCAGGCCATAACAGGCACTCAATAAATGGTGGATGAATGAAGGAAAGTTCTAGAAAATCTATCTTTTTAAGAAAAGATACATATAAAAGGAAGATGTTTAACAAGACTTATGGCCAAATATGATTACACAGTACAATAATGTGTCCAAATATAATGACAGGTCTGTTATCATAATTGCTCCAGAGTGTCTTACTCTGGTCTTTCTTCTCCTTTTCCTTTCCCCCCTCCCTCCTCCTCAGTCTCTTTCTTCTTCTAGAGCAGCCACACTAAGGGTTGAAGCATTGAACCCAGTTTGGATTTAGATGTTCTGATTCAGCTATCCACACTGCCCAAAATCAACAAAAATCTGTTTTGTTGAGCAGGCTGCATAGATGCAGCCTCGTGCTAATGCTAGACTTGGATGGTGTAGTGTGTTACCAATGCGGAAGTACACCACCCCCTTGCAGAAGGCACTTCCAAACCGCTTCTGCTTTGACTAGATGGGATTGTTTAACTCTGTGAAAAGGAAAACTGCTCATAATTTCTGACACGCACTTTTATTTCTTTCTCTTATTGTAAAAAAGTATCTAATTTCCTACAAAAATACCAAGAAAAAGAAAAAAAGAAAGCAGGAAGCAAGATTCAAATAATTTCGTATCATACTTTTGGCCTCCAGTTTTCTTTCTACATTTTTTTTTTTAATTTCAGAGATAAAGACCATTGTGTGTGTGTGTGTGTGTGTGTGTGTGTGTGTTTGCATTTTCTGTCTATAATGGAAACTCATTTCCTCTGCCAAGGTTAGCTTTCCAAAACACAGCGAGTCTCAAGGGAGGATGGTTCATTGAGGCCAATGTTCCAGACACTCACATAACTGTCTCTATGTTTAGCTATAAGGAGAACATCATGCGTCTCTCCAGGCTGCACAAGGACCGCCCCATCGAGCCCCTGGATCTGGCTGTGTTCTGGGTGGAGTTCGTGATGAGGCACAAGGGGGCCCCACACCTGCGCCCAGCAGCCCACGATCTCACCTGGTACCAGTACCACTCATTGGACGTGATCGGCTTCCTCCTGGCCATCGTGCTGGGGGTTGTCTTCATTGCTTATAAATGTTGCGCCTTGGGCTGCCGGAAGTGCTTTGGGAGAAAAGGACGAGTTAAGAAATCTCACAAATCCAAGGCACACTGAGAAGGGGGTAGGGAATGAGATGATCCGAAGTTGCAACCAGACACAACGTTAAATTCATATTCTGCTTATTAAACAAATGCTTAGCCCGGAGTGAGATACCCCTGAATGGTTTTTCAAAATAAAAACAATCTAATTGGTAGTCACACCTACAGGTAGAGATCTTGAAAGGTTTCTGCCCCCTTTAGTATTTTTAATCTGGACTACCCTTGTCCCCATTCAAATGACTTGCCAGAGGGTCGGACAGGTCCTTCCTGCCCCTTGCATTAATTTTCTTACTTAGGAGTAAGGACTGTTTGTGGGGCAACAGGTTTGAGAGGTTCCCGCACCCCCAACCTGCAACCCGGGAAGACGGTTCTAACATTATCGTCTGGCTTCTGGAAATTTTGTGAACGTTGCCATCCTAACTTAAGGTCTTAATTTAAGCTTGTGCTTCGCAGACAGCACTTGGTGTATTTAAAGAAGGATACATTTGTTTATTCCCGGGAAATAGGGCCTAGCACTTGAAATAAATGAATGACCTAGGATCTTTTGAGAACCATGTCTGATTTCTCACTTTAGGGAAAAGAATGATGTGTGAAATTGATGAATGGTGTGTCCAAGAGGTGAATCAATGCTTGTGGCAAATGGATCTCATTTGAGAAAAACCCGAAGCAGAGTGTCTCACAAGTGTATTTTCTCTGATGTTTTGAATAATTGAAATTAGTAATAAATTCTTATAAATTATATCTCTTAGGTGTTCTTCTCTTCATTTTTGTTGCATTTCTCGGTGAGCTACATGTGCTGATTGTAAAAATAAACCGTGATTATGACAGAAATTAGGAAAACAGAGGTGCACACATACACAAGAAAATGAAAGTCTGGTAATCGTGTTCACCAGAAATAACTTCAGTTACTATTTTGGCAAATGTGTTTACTTATAAAATACTGCAGCTACACCAAGCATATCTAGCACTTTCCAACCCTCTTTCTCACTTCACTCTACTGGGAATGCCCTCCCCACACTTTTCTATAACATTTATTGCATTTTTCATGGCCAAGAAGTTAATTATTGCATGCATATGGCAGGATTTATTTAACCAAGACTTCTGTGTGGATTCACTTGTATTTTCTGCTATAAAAGAGCCCTCTTTGAACAGCCCAGTGATTAGGTCTTTGTACATTTTCATGACTGTCTCCATCAAGTTGATGGTTATGGTATGCCTGGGTTCCCTTGAGGCAAGGATTCCAGAGCAAGTAGATTATTTGGTAAGTAAAGGAAGCCCTGATATGGGAGTGGGGAGTGGGACCAGGAGTGAGGGACTCCAAGAAGCTGATCTGCTATGGGTGGCTGGAGCTGAATCCCTCTGTTGATGCTGGGGGCCAATGTAAGACATCAGACTAATCCCACCTTAGCAAGAAGCCAAGTCCTGGGCTCTCTGAGCATTCGTCGAGTCTGTGACCGGCTGCTCCCAGGTTGTGTTAATTTCCCTTCACTTCCAGTCGGCCCCAAGTGTGGGCAAGGGGACCCTTAAAGCCAGAAAGAGCCCCTAGGAGAGAAAGTGAGGTGTGGAGTTGGAGGCGGCCCCTTGGGCCCTAAGGCAGAAGGACACAGGGATCTGGGTGGGGCACTGCAGCCTTGCTGCCCTGAGCAGATAGATGGCTTGAGTTATTTGCAAACTGCAAGCAGAGAGGGACTATCCGTGTGTGGGAGAGCCAGTTTCCTGCACCCTCCTTGGTGTAAAGTAATATATCGAAGGAAAGTATCAGTTGGGAGATGAGCCATGGGATCTGGTTTTAAATTAAAAAAAAAAAAAGATTTATTTATTTGGGGGGGGAGGAAAGAGAGAGAAAGAGGGCCTGCTGAAGTAGGGGGCGAGGGAGCAGGAGAGAGAATCTCCAATGGACTCCCCACTGAGCACAGAGCACAGAGCACAGAGCCCAACACGGGACTTGATCTCACAACCCTGAGATCATGACCTGAGCCAAAACCTAGAGCTGGACACTCAATTGACTATGCCACCCAGGCACCCTGGGGTCTTGTTTTAAATGTGCTTTTATTACTATTATTACGTCAAAGTTTTTTATTTTTTGTTTTTTTTAATTTTAGGAGTCATTTGTGTTTCTTTTTTGGAGACTGTACTTGGCCTGTCTTCCTATGGGCTGTATTACCCCAAGGGTTTGTTCAGAGAGTTTACTGCATTAATGAGAATATCGTTCCGACTTGTACCGTATTTTCTCCACTTGTTCTGTGCCTTTAATTTTGCTCACACTTCTGTGTGTTTGTTGCTTTGTGGTTTGTGTCACACGTAACAGTTTTAAATGTGCAGACTTCAAACTGGAGCTGTGGTCCCTTGGATAGTCAGTTTCTCCTGAACCCAGACCCATTTATTCCCTCCCTTGGCTGCTTTTGAGAAGCTGTTCTTGCCAGATCCCTCCCCACACCTTTGAGCCCTACCGGGACTCACAGACTACGTCCACCGTCCCACAAGACCCTTCTTGGTCCACCCAGGCACCAGCTCCCAGGCTCCCTGCCGCCCCCACCTCTCTGGACTTGAGCTGCTCGGGGCTCCACCAGCCTGTGCTTCTTCACACTTTGATTTCTCTGGCCCCTATGTCTTCTTTTTGGAATATCCTAAGCAAAAAGGGGGACTTTTTGTAATGAGGCAGACTTCCTAAGGACGTGGGGCTCATGGCCGGGCCTCAATGGTGCCAAGTACCTCTCTTGCCTGGTCCGGTCCCCCTACACTCTGGGTGCCTGCCCTACTCTTCCTTCTCCTCTTGGTCTTGTTTGTTCCTCAGTCCCCAGGATCGCACAGGACCATGGAGGACTGACAGAGTCTCTCTTACCCGGAAGGGAAGAATCTGATTGGTCCAGATCAGGCATCTACTCCCAGTCATCCAATCAGGAATGTTGAGGGAGGGATTACACAAGGAAAACATGGCCATGGGGAGCCCTAACTGACCCCAAGGGTCAGGGAAGAGGGAGCTTAGTGAGCTGGGGAGATGTTCCCAAATGTGTCCACTATACACGTACATTGCGTCCATTTTTTTTTTTTTTTCACTTCCTGCCTTGGCGCTCTCATGCATTTAAACCCACGGGTTTTTACAATTCAGTTTTTTCCAATTTTCAAGGTAGCTCCCCTAGAAGGTGGGAAGCTCAGTTGAGTGACAAAAGGTTCGAGTGACTGATTTCGTGGATCGCTTATATGGGAGTCAAATATTACTGTCCTAATCTGAAGAAAAAAAAAAAAAACCCTGAAAAGTGTTTTTATTCCCAAAAACCAAGCAGAACCCAATTCTTCTCCTTGATCTTGTGGTCTCAGTGTCTTCTCTGGATACTGTGTTGGGGGCTTCTCACTTTTTGCCATGGCTTACACACTCCTTAGATATGCAACAAAAAATGGCTCCTTTCTCCACCCTTCCTGATGGCCATACCCTTCCCTATGCAGCTGGGCATGGGAGGGATCCATTTCCCCACTCCATCGGGACCTAGCTGGCCTGCGACCTGCATTTGGCTAGCAGCATTCGGTAGAAGGGGCAGGGGCCAGTCCCAAGTGGAGGCCCCAGGAGGCCTTTGTGTTCCTGCTCACTCTTTTGGAAGCCCACCTCCTTGCTATGAGAACAGCCTGGGCTAGCCCTGCTGTGGGATAGACATGGGATCCAATCACCCTAGCCACTTCAGCCAACAGCTAGCCAATTGCTGGCCTGCCAACCTTGGGAGGCCATCCATCACCAACCAGCCCTCACCCAGCCCACCAGCTGACTGCAGGTGCATGAGTGAATCCATGGATGGATATGCCCCAGATCAACAGAACTGGCTGGTAGATTTATGAACAATAATTAAGAGTTGTTTTTAGTCATTAAGCTCTGAGGTGGTTTTTTACACAGCAATAGCTAACTGATACATTTAGTCCTATCTCTTAATCTACAGTCTTTAATGTGTTGGGTCTTTAGCTTATCAGAGGACACAGGTGTCCTACCCACCTCCATATTCACCACTACATGGAGAGCCATGTCAGCTGCACACAACAGGTAGGCAGGTAGGGTCTGTGGAATGGAATGGCAACCGTATCACTTAAGTGATCTTGGAGGAGAAGAGCTGGCCCAGAGGGTGGTGGGAGGAGGTAGGGCAGAGGTAGCTACAAAAGAGGGGTGGGTGATAACTGTCTTCTTGTGCCTGTTCCATGCTGGTCATTTTGTCACCAAAGGGCAGAGGGAGGAACAACACAGGGATTTTATGGGGAAGAAGAGTTTGGTGTTATGCCAGGGAAGCTCATCTTCTAAACATCCAGTTTCAGTGAAGTAGAAATGGGCCAGGAAGGGTAATGAGGACTCTGGTATCAGAGGTGTCCAAGCAGAGGCTGAGGAATTTCCTCTTAGGAGGGTGGATAGACTTTGAGTGGGAATTTTAACTAAGCAGTCTTGGACCTAGGTGGCTCTGAGTCTTGTTCTGTTGCCCTGTAATGCATAGAAAGGTTTCCGAAGGCCAATATTTCATTGCTCAGACTCTCGATCTGACTTAACTCACAGCTACAACTGACAGGGGAATCCTTGGGCCCCACTTTTGGTTCAGGGAAACAGGGTCCTTGCCCTCTCACCTGTCCTAGAGGTGCTTCATCTTCTAAGTATTCTGTCAATGGGAACCCCCTTCCCCATCCAGTAATCTGTCCAGTCCCTGGGGAGGAAGAGTCCTTTTCCCAGGACTCCTCTGTGACCCAACCCACCCCATCTGCCCTGACTACATCTTCCCACCCCAAGGTCCTATGACCACATGTTGGAAGAAGTCACCTAGAAGATGTGACTGCCGGTTGACCCATGAACTGGGCCTGGGAAATTGGAGGCTCCCCATCCCCTCTCCTGTCCTTGGAATGAGGGTTCTGCTTGCCTTTCCCACTCCCAGAGCCTGCTCCAAGGACACAGCCCTGAGGTGCTGATATGGTGTTGAGGCCACCTTGATGGTATATGTGACTGAACCTAGCTAAGGCCTCTGAATAAAATCTTCAGATGCAGTTGGCAGGTGCAAGCATCCACAGTCTTGATGCTGCCCAAGAGAATCACAGCATGTGAGTTTCTTGCTTATTAAAACTGCCATCTACCAACCTGGAGTGGCCTTTCTTGGGTCTCCCCCTGCCTTCTGAGCACAGGGGCCAAGAAGCTCCCATGGAGCTTGCAAACCATCAGTGCATCCCCAGGAGACATGGTGGCGAATCACCCCCACTGTCACCGTGCCCCTTTCCCAAACAGACCACAGTACTTTACCACACACATGAGTAAGAAAATCATTTAGTGACAACATAATGTGGCGCTTTAATCACAGGGCGCTGTGCACTCCTCAAAGCCCTCACTTGATAAAGACTCAGGAAGGCAGTTAGATCTCAAAGTTCCAAGGGTCTGCTACCTAACGGTGATGATTCTAATGAAACCCTCCCACCCCGCCAGGGGACATATTCCTCATCCACAAC